CTCTTGCCTCGTGCGAGGGGCTTCCTAATTTTCGTTCGCTCCTATTTTTTATTTTTAAGGAGATTACACGCTCACGACGTTTTTACGCGAGAGCTCGAGGGTGTAAGGGGTTGAGCAGCCAGCTCTGCTGCTGCCGCTGTTATCAGCGAGGACGCGCGCCTTTTCAAAGTTGCCTTCACTTCTTTTCAAAGCTCTGGCTATTTGCATAAAAGTCCTGAGGGATAGGCTTTTTTTAGTCGCTTCGAATTAAATTAAACTGCTCTTAACAATCCCGTTGGAAATGCCAAAGTTCATCGAGTTGATTAAACTTTCCAGATTGGCTCGATCTCTTCAAATTAGCTTACCTATTATGATTGTCCGATGATAACAACGTTCCTTCAATTCCTTTCCAATAAAGCAGTCGATCTTTTTACAATTAATGAAAGACTCTCGTCTTTAAAACTCAATGTATCCTTCACAAATAATAACCATAAGTAAAATTTTTAATTCTTCCGCAGATCTCAATCGTTCAAGCATTCGTCGATCTGAGCAGTACTTTGCGCAATTTAATGACAGAACGCAGCGTCCGAGCATAGCGTACGCGTGTGTTCGCCAATGCGGAACGGGAATTTCGTAAATATAACAGAATAAGAGGAGAAAAAGAGTGTAGGTTAACATACATAATGTAAGACGTGTGTCAGCAGCCATGAATAGACGAGGTTCCCCCTTTGCAGCGTCCAAAGCTGACGTCCCGGGCTTTTCGCCCTCCACCGTCATTTTCTCCTTGTTTTTTTTTGTTTTTTTGCTGCTGCTTCTTCGTCGCCCTCCCCTTCACCTCCCCTTCGTTTGCGACGTTTTCATTCTATACTCTTGCTTTCTATACATTTGTGGACATTCATTCAATGTAGACTTCTGGACTAGCGTGTTGGAAATCCTTTAGCCAGCTTAGACAATATGACTACACGGGAGTTGTAACTAGTCATAAAAATAATTTACTGATATTTCTATTTTTAAATCTGGAGCAAATTAAACCTAATGAAAAATATAAATAGAGATAAATTTCAATGAAAAACTTTACGGCTACATAACAGCTAAAATAAAGGAACGTGAATCTCATCCAAGATATTTTTCATTAATTAATATATAAATATTATTACTGAGTGTAATTTACGTCCACATCGCTAAGTATTGTAATATAATATAATAAAGTTCATTTACATCTTATCATTAATATTTGATAAAATCATAGTTGAGCATAATATATTTGTGAACAAAATCAAACGGAATTTGAAAAGAAAATGAGTAGATGAAGCAAAAGTGTTTCAGAGTTACATATCATAAATAAATTAAACCAGTAGGCAAACGAAAGTACAAAAACTGGCAATGGAGAAATAAAATTAAAAACACCTCAAAAATTCCCCTCGTTGTGCCTCCTTCGAAGGCACGTTAATCCCCTCGCGCGTCAGTTTCCACTTTTCCTACGCGCATGTGCGTAAACTTTGGCATCAGCTTGTGTATATATACGCAGACAACGTATAGCAGTGGCAGCAAGCAGCAAGCAAGAGCCAGCAGCCTGCCGGGCAATCCATAAATACTCTTCTAATGGGCCTAAACTGTCTCTTTTACCGCGCCGTTGTGAAATCCACGACGGGAGGCCTGCTGCGTTAGTCGCCGCTGGTGCGACGGGTGCGAATGAAAGAAAGAGACCGTGAACGAGAAAGAGAGATACAGAACACATGTCGGTCACTTTGCCGGCGGAAAGTCAGGACCCAAAAAGCATCAGCTCCTGTCAAATGAGGCCTTAAATCGCTTTACAATTTATATTAACACGCCGCCCCATGGCATCGGTATACGTGTGCGCTGTTCTTCGGTACTGTTTCTTTCCATCGTCGCTGCTCGCCGCGCTCGCGCTCGTCCCTTGCATTTTAACTCGAGTTTTAATTGCCGACAAACCGATTGCCTTCTTCCTTTACGGTCGCCATCGCGCACTCCGAACATTTTAATTGCAGTCCGTCGATTTTGCGCTCGCTTGTCTTTTGAATTTATTGGATTGCACATGTCAATCGCCGCACGCGGCACGCGCAAAGCGCTTTCGGAAATGCGAGCCATTTGAAATTAATAACAGGCAGCTCGTCTTTTTGGCGAAATAACGAAGACGGATGGAGGCGCGATTTGAAAAGCAAATCGCCTAGACATCTCAATTCCCAGCTTCCAGATGTATATCCATTATATGTCGATTTGTGTGCAAGAGAACGCAAGCACGCATTAGAAAGTAAAATGGCATAATACGGAAATTGTTTTACCAATTCCTGATGGATTGATTTACAAATAGCTGCCTCGAGGAAATCCGTCTTCGTACTACCCCTGCAAACGTGACCGACTGAATTGATGAGCTCACACCTCAGCTGAATATATATGCCGGGCTGTACAATTGTCGACACCTGATAATTTTACGACTTCGATAAGCGTAAAAATTGCATGAGTGGCACTAAAAATGAATTTATGTTTGATTTACAACTTTGAAAAACTTGTTCGTCATACAGTTTTCCGCATGATGAAAATATACTTGTCGTCTTTCAACTTTTATAACTATGAGTTTATAACTAGTTTACGATTTGCCGCATATGTAGGTACTAAAAGAAGTTCGGATTGATGTTATAATTCAGCTAAAAATAATCAGCTATTCATCTCTCAGTTTTTTGAGTGGCTTCGGGTTCAATGACTTGGTGAATGCGTCTCCTCGAGGCTACGGTGTCATTTTTAAAAATAGACTTATTATGCAACTATCACGCCAATGACCCACATTTCCAACGGGAAAAACAATTATTTTTTAATTATCAAACTCGAAAATTAATATCGAGCTGACTTTGCATAAGCGCGCGAAAGGAAACAAGAGCTAGATAGTTAAGTGTCAAGTCGATCTAATCAGCGAGGCATATTAACTCAATAATTTATCCATCTCCGGTCATAAAAGCAACACTGTGCGCGCGATAAGACCGAAGAAGAGAGTCAAAGCTTATCCCCGCTGCGGATGGCTACAGCAAGGGTATTAATTTCACTTTTTACGAGGCTCTCGTGCGCCTAATTGAAAGTTTAAGAATCGTTCGATTCCCAGGACCTATACGCATACACCAACACTGTGTATGTGTGTATATAGTCAGAGTAGCGTTCGGAAATTAAAACGTAAAACTGGTCGTAGCGAAAGTGCGAACACGCGACATGCCGATCAGATAAGTATATGCATAAAAAGAGAGAGAGAGAGAGAGCGAGAGAGAGGAGTGTTGGGGTCCGCATGGCGCTGGGGCGCTTACCTCGCTACGTCGAAATGTATTATATCGTGAGGAGGGCATCACAAAATGAAAAAGCAAGTTTATAGCGGACGGGCGAACTTGGCGGCCACCGCCGCCGTTGCCGCACGCACGATGTGATGCAGACAAGTCCATCGCACTCCCAAATAAGAGGATCATCCCTCTCTCTCTCTCTCTCTCTCTCTCTCTCTCTCTCTCTTTCTCTCTCTCTCTCTCTCTCTCTTTCGCACTCTGCTTCAGTCTGCGCGCGCGGAGGTTCGCGCGGTGTCCGCCAGTCTGTGGGCGCTGCAGGCACGGGCTGCCGGCTCTCTCTCGCACTCTCGAATAGCGGCAGCAGCTACGCCACGAACGCGAGACCTCAGTCTAATTTGAACCGCCGCGCGCGCACCCGCGCCAAACGCCCGCCCGGTCTTCACGCCAACTTGTCTGCACAATCTCAGCGTGCGCGTCCCTCTTTCCCTACTCTTTGGCCACGCGCGATTGAAAGAAAAAACCGAGACAAGTTTTCGCTTCTCTCTCCAGCGAGCTGTTATTTCATTTTCAAGAGTGACTCCAATTGGTGCCGGGGTCGGCAAGAAAAATCCAAGATTCTGTTCAAAGATCGCTGCAAGAAGAAAAAGTAACTCATCGATTCTTGCGAGAAGGAGAAAAGAAACGAAGGAGGCAAAGAGAGGGGAAGGGAGAGATAAAGAAGACATCAGACAGAGAGAAAGCGAAGTGCATTGGACGGGCCATTTAAAAAAATGTTATCGCGGCATCGGTGGTGTTTAAAGTTGGCGGCGCACGTGTGAGACGGCGAGCGCGCGCGCAAGAGAGAAAAAGTTGTGAGTGAGTGAACGAGAGATAAGAGAGTGTCATCGCTCCTCTCCTTCAGTGTGCCTCGGTGTGTATATATACGTACGCATGCATATGTGCGTGCGCCAGTCAACTGCAGGGAATTAACGATCGCGGATGATTTCGTTGCGGGCTCTTGCCCCCTTTTTTTCTCTCTCTCCTCCGCGGCGACGACGGCAGCAGCGGCAAGCCGTGAGAAGCGAAGAGCAGTGGGAGGAAGAAGTGGAGTAAATAAAGGATAAAAAAAGACGAGGAAGGAGCGCACAAGAGAGAGAGAGAGAGAGAGAGAGAGAGAGAGCGCGAGTCAGTGGAACGCGAGTATTGTTATCGTGCGTGAGCTCGCGACTCGAGGAAAGGGGGTGGGGACAGCAGGCTAAAAAGACACACGATGCTACCGGGGCAAGACTGCAGCGGTAACAGCAGGAGCGGCAACGAGAAGACGACCAAGCAGCAGCAACAGCAGCAGCAGCAGCAGCACCGACCACTGCACTTAACGATCTGCAGTGCGCCACTGGAGAAGAATAATAATCGAGCAGCAGGTAATTCGGCCGTCAGCTCTCGTTCGACAGCGCTAGTAGCAGTTGCAGTAGCGCCAATTAATGGGCTCCGCGAGCTGGATTCCACGACACGCGGCATTTAAACCGCCACAGAGAAGGACAAGACCATGAATTCGAAGAGAGTTGACGCCGCCGCCGTTGCCGCGAGCACAGCGGAATTGCCGTGCGACCAAATCTGAAAAAGGCTGCGCGCGCGCGGATCATTGGCGAGGCAAGGAGCGGCGACGCACGCTCACACGCACACGCGAGGCACTAGGCACAGCAGAAGAACAGGACAGAGAGAGAGAGAGAGAGAGAGAGAGAGAGAGAGAGAGAGAGAGAGAGAGAGAGAGAGAGAACTGCCAGTGGACTTTGCACGTGCGGCATAGAAGTGCGCGCGTGCGAGAGAGCGAGAATGAGGCGCAAGCCCGTAGCGGGACCACCCCGACCTACAGTTCCCGTCCGCGAGGCATGTGCTCCGTGAAGCAGCGGCAGCAGCACGAGAGCAGTGGCGGTCGGTGTACCGGACTTGCGAGGATGCTGCTCCAGCTCGGGGCGCTGCTCATGGCAGTGCTCATCGCCACGGCCTCGGCGAGCAGCACGGCGAGCAGCCTCAAGAGTACGTCGCCGATCGTCCGTCAGCAGACCGACGACTATTATCAAGGTCGAGGCATGATTTTCGGCCTGAAACTCGGTTATCGCGACAAAGGCGGGACGGCCAGGCGGCGCCGATGGCCCGAGATACTGGTTCACCGGCCCGACGATTGGCAAATGGTGCAGCGCTACGCCAACCAGTCGCTGAGCAGCACGATCGAGCCGAGCAGTCGAGTGACTCGGTCTCTCAACTCTAAGCAGCAGCAGCAGCAGCGGCAGCAGCAGCAGCAGCAGCAGCAGCAGCAGCAGCAGCAGCAGCAGCAAAAGCTGCACGAGCGCACGAACCGCGGCGGTGGTAAAAAGAATCGCACGAAGGTCGACTCGCCGAAAGAGCAGCGGAGAAGATGTCGACAGAGGGGCAACTGCAGAGGACGGAACTGGTGTCCGGACATGGACGTGGGTAATCGCGCGTTCCTCGCCCCAACGGTGTTCGAGGGCAAAGCCCGCAGCATGTCTTCGCTGCGCAAACCCGGCTCCAACTACGCGGTAACCTTCGAGGTGAAGCAGGTGTTCAAGAGCCAGCCGGGCTTTCAGCCGTTGCAGAAGAACGACAGTGTGAGGCTACACTTTCGTGACAAAACTGCCCCGGGCAAGTCGACCGTCTGCCAGGAGGCAGCGGCCACCGCAGCAGCTGCTGCCCTCAGTTCTAGTGCGAGTTCTAGTGGTGCTACAAGCCAACAACAACAGCGTCATCAGCAGCAACAACGTGACAGTGGCGGTCTAGTGCGCGCTAACATAAAGAGGGGTAAAGTGTATCTTGTGTTTGTGAACCGCGTGGGACCCAGGAACTTCACGATCCTCGGCGAACCGGTCATACGTAGCAAGAAGAACGAGCAGGCCGTCCAGGCCGTCATTCGTCCTGATTATGGTAAGTTTTTCGTCTGCCGTACGTCTTGCTTCTGTTTTACCAATTTCGCAGGTTAGAAAACGTTTGAGGAACTAACCTTTCCGATTTCTACTCGACGTTGACTAATGCTGCACTGTCGTCCTAACTACTTGTTCGTTGTCCCTTTTAAGAACGGCATGTTTATTTATGACACGATATAACGATGAGCGTGCATTTTGAATGCGCGAACTTATTTGCATATGTACGTACTTCTCATTTTACTAAAATCTATGTATTAATTGCCCATAGAAATTGAGCTTTCGGAGCGACCGATCGATCGGTCAATTTTACAATACGTCGTTTGATTTTGATTGTTATTCTTCTTCGTTGATACGTCTATTTGTTGTTTTTTCTGATTGTCTATCCGCTGGAAAAAAAAGTGAATCACCTTTTCTGAGAAAGCGTGATGCAATTGTGCTGTAATAAAAGTGACTACTGTAAATAACTCTATGATTTACTGCTGACTTGTTTTTAATAAATGTATTATTTAGCTGAGAGCGTGTTATAAGTAATATAAAAGATATCTTATTCTCTTGATAACATTTCATGTCATTAATTTGATAGGTCGTTAGCTGCCCAAAATTCTTCTAAATATACAGTACTAAAATTAATATAAACGACAGTCTTAACGTGTCACTATGAAGAAACTCGAAAGATATCCGTCGTGTTAATTGGAAAGTTAGCTAAGGAAAAAATCTAGGGCATTTAGTTATTTTTAAGAATTGTCGGGATCGGAATAGATGCGTGACAGAAAGAAATTTATCAGCGAAACGTAATTTTTTTTCTCATAATATAGTCCAAGATCACTCTTTCTTTTATATTTCGTCATTTTCAATGTTTTTACCGAAACAATTTATCGAACGCACAATGCACAGAGATGGCTGGCATTCCATTCGTTTTTTGTCAGCTACAGGTATGAGCAATCACCAAAATCTACATCGCGATCGCCAATATCGCAATAATCGGCGTGAATCAGAATTGATGAGCATTGCGTAATGCGCTTCCAAGTGCTTCACTTTCACTTTGACCAAAAATAACGGACTGTTGGACTGTATTTTTTAACAAATACAGATGCCAGGCTAAAAGAGCTTTGAGCATTATACGGTATATGGAAAGTAAAAATTTTTAATATCGACTTTCGATAATTTAATATCAATAACAGCACGTGCATGACTTTTTCAACAGATACACGGCAGAGACGAGATTTATTGCTTGAAATCACTCGACTGTAATGTGAAAGTAACAGAAACGCAAAATCGTTACACGCAGCATTACTGTCAATAACAATCTCTCTCATTTTCTGGGAAAAAGCCCTCCGATAAAACTTGCCCAGAATTTCTCAAAGACGACTGTTCTTTCTGTCTGTACGAAGCGCTTAAAATTTCAAAAAGCACAAGCACGGAGGAACGAAAAACAAAGAGCGGAATGCTGCACGTTGAAATCATCGATACACGAGAGACTGTCCGTTGACACGATAAACTTTGACAGCGTTGCATGACGAGCGGGACCGAGAAAGGAAGGCTTTAGTTTTCACGGTCGGCCGTCGGGGAATTAGCATTTGAATCTGTAGCATGCTGGCGATGGTGGTAGTATAGGATGCGATGTGAAATGGTTACAGAGTCGCCGATGCGTTTCGTCTATCTGCCGGTACGCGTCGATCTCACCCATGCATAATTCGGTCGCTACGCTGCATCGGCGCCTGCATATAACACGGCAGCACGCACATACGCATCAGTGCTCCGAACGCGAATAGCGCAGAGGTGTCGCGCGCGAGCGCGGAAAGGCTCCGAGAGCATTAAACTTTGCTCTATAACCCCAACGCTCTCTCTCTCTCTCTCTTTCACTACTACCTGGCTATGTGTCTTTGAGATCGTCACTGCGTACTCTCTCTCTCTCTCTGCTTGCATGACCACAGTGCATTCGGCTTTTTGTGATTCCACCACAGGCTTCCCCTCGTATTACACCGCACTACTCCCAAATAATGCATGCCAATGCCGGAGCACAGACACTAGATTTACTTCGTAATTACTGCCGGCCATTTCATGTGTATGATCGAACTTATAATGCTTCTCTATTTTCCCGATAAAAGTTTTGAATTAATGCCGCCATTAATTTAATGCAAATTTCAATTATAACTGCATAATTATCTAATAATCGCAATATTGTTGAAATATTTAATGTAGTATGACGGTTCAGCCCCGATACACGTATTTTCAGTCCAATTCGATATGACTCACTGACCACATTGTATTTTCACGAGAATGTTTACGTTCATTTTAATTACAAAAAGTCAATCTTAAGCAAATAAGAGGTATATTGCAAATGATTTTATAATTTAATCGTCACGTCACAAGGCCAAACGGTGAGACAGGCGGGATAAATTGAAATGTAAATGACCGCTTGGAAAGGGCGCGTGTCGGCACATCGAACAAAATCGCAAGCTGAGCGCGGCGCTTCGACAGATAGAAGAGAGCGGAAGAGAGAGAGAGAGAGAGAGAGAGAGAGAGTGGAAAGATTATAAAGTTTTGCGTGGCATCATAGCCATTACGGCGTTTTATTACTCACAGACACTACGAAACAAAACAAAACGGAAAAGCCAGCGTCGATCTATAGCAGTATTCGACTCGAAAATCCAGAAATGGCTTCATTTTTATGGCTGTCTATACAGCGTATTGCTCTCGCTCAATACTCTCTGGCTACACAGTGTCATTTTATTAAGATATTTCTTTCTATCACCGATTTCTTTTTAGTATCCTGCCACGCTATTACATCTGACTATTTGATTTTCGTACGCTTTAGTTCCAGGAAAATTTTAAATGAAAATGCGAATGGAATATACGGCAGCATAATGCAGATGATTCGAATGTGTTTAGTTATTGGCAGTGGTGTAATCAACAACACAAAAAAGCTTATTTCTAAAAAGTATTTTGATGGAACTACACGCTTGGCTAGACTGCCCAGCTATAAGTATGTAGCTTCTCGGCTGCTTTTTTCTTGGTTGCATTTGGTTAAAATTTTATTAATTGAAACTATCCGAGCTTAACATTTCTAACTAATTGTTTTTCAAGCACAATGAAGCATCAAGCCAGTTTTATAGGCCATACAAGTGTAAGTACTCTTTTCGAACGCCGAGTTATAGTTTTATTTATATAAAAGCTATAAATTAGTCTCCGCGGACAATTCATACATTTATTTGGCTTAATGCTCTTATTTAAAAAGTTGGCGAATTAAAAGCAGATTGTTTTTACGAACGAGTGTGCGTGGGTTAAAGTTAGAATTCTCAGAAAAGTGCTTTCAGACTGTTTATACTCATGTAACTACAAGCTTTTTTTCCTCGACAACTGCGAAAATCGTAATCGTGTTGATTAACGTCGTTAAAAAGAAATCGAAAATACAAATTTAAAATAAACCTCGTTTCGTCTTCCACTGGACTGTGTCCAATAATATCAAAGCAATCTGGTGTCCACTGAGAAAAAGAAAGTCGAGCGAATAAATTGAATTCAACATTCGTGAAAATTTCAAATCAGTGTAGACGCGAACACATTTCGATCGGTGTTCCAAAAAGACTCGATGAAAGCTCACAAATAAATGGATTTCGATGTTGGTAACGTCAAGACGCAGTAGAGTAATATCTCGTGAAAATATGTTTCACCTTTAAGTCATTTGGGCAGCTCGCGCTTTACTTTGATCGCGCTACTTGATAAAACTCAGCTAGCGTTTATAAGAAAAGGCAGTATTCTCTGTTCTTCTCGCAGGAGATAGTCTCCTTCAATCAATTACTTAGCTCTCGCTCGTCGGAAACTTCGTACTCGAAACTCGTTACTCACAAGCAAGCACGCGCAAGCTCCTTAATCCTTGCGTTCGCGAGGCGCGAAATCATTTCATCGTCAATCTTCCTACAAATCGAAACGCTAATCCACGGGAACTTGCTAGCGTAATAAGGGACTTGGTGTTTTGGAGTGCACTTTGTTATGCTCACACACATATAACGAGCAAACGATATGTGGAATTAGTGCTTGAGCATAGCGCCGCCTCGAGGCTTTCAATTGACAAGTGACGGCTGCATGGATATGCGAGTTGATTTTATCGCGGCGCGACGTCTGTATACGAGTATGTACGAGGTGTGTTCAAAAAATAACGAGAATTTTCGTTTTATGAAAAAAATATTTATTTATTCATGTACATTAATGTTGTCGCCTTCAAAGTAGTCCCCTTCGGATACAATACACTTATGCCAACGCTTTTTCCAATCCTCGAAACACTTTTGAAACTCGATCTTTGTAATAGCTTTTAGCTCTTTCAGCGATTCGCTTTTAATGTCATCTATGCTTGTAAAACGACGGCCTTTTAATGTTCTCTTTATTTTTGGAAATAGAAAAAAGTCACATGGAGCCATATCTGGCGAATATGGAGGCTGAGGCATCGTTACAGTTTCGTTTTTGGCCAAAAATTCACGAACAAGCAATGAAGTGTGAGCAGGCGCATTATCGTGGTGCAAAAGCCATGAATTGTTTTGCCACAAATCCGGGCGTTTTTTTCGGATTGCTTCACGCAAACGACGTTGAACTTGTAGGTAGTACTGCTTATTGATTGTTTGACCTTGTGGCAAGAATTCATAATGCACTATGCCATTAAAATCGAAGAACACAGTGAGCATAACCTTCACATTCGACCGCACTTGTCGAGCCTTTTTCGGTCTTGGCGATCCAGAATGCCTCCACTAGGACGATTGAGCCTTAGTTTCGACATCATATCCGTAAACCCATGTTTCGTCACCTGTTATAACACGTTTTAGTAGTTCTGCATCGTCATTGACTTCATTTAGCTACTCCTGAGCAACTTCCATTCGCCGCTGTTTTTGTTCGAAATTCAACAATTTTGGAACGAATTTTGCTGCCACACGTATGAAACCCAAAACATTCGAAAAAATTTGATGGTATGAGCCAACTGATATGCCAACATCATCAGCGACTTCTCTGATT